GGAAAGGGGGAGGAAAGGGGGAGGAAAGGGGGAGGAAAGGGGGAGGAAAGGGGGAGGAAAGGGGGAGGAAAGGGGGAGGAAAGGGGGGAAGGCTGCTCACACCTCCCCAGGCGCTGGGACCACCCCGAAAGGGCCACCTGAGCCCTGGGAGCCAGCCCCCGTCCCAGCTGCTCTCCAGGGCGGCTGAAGTTTGCTGTCCGGCAGAGGGACCTTTCTATCTGCTCTGTCTCGTAAAGATAAGAATCAAGCGGATTCTCTAGCTTTTGTTCTTGGCAGGGCGCTGGTACGAGAGCCTTCGTTTTATCTGAGGATTATAAAGATCGAGTCACAGCTGGATCGTGCTCATGGAGAAGTGGTTTTGCTCTTCTCCAGTGAAAGCCGAAGGATTAAAGGCTCGAGGCGGGAGAGGCCAGGACTCACCCGAGATCAGCCCCACCTCACAGCCGCCGGCTGGGCAGAGGAACCGGGGGAGCCAGAGCCCGCAGACCCTCACCCTGCGCCCGCCTCGCTCCTCGCCCCGCGGGGCACAGGGGCGGAACAGAACCACCATCTCCCCCCTCGCCGCCTGTCCTACCGTCCGCCGACAGAGCCATCTCGATGAGGGTCTCGTTGGCTCTCCTCCCCAGGCGGCTCATGGTGGCCGCCCGCCGCCTTTCCGCCGGGCGCGGAGCGGTGACTCAGGGCGGGCCCATGCATGCGCACTGCCCGCGGGGCGGAGCGGGGCGGCTCCGGGCCGGGGGCTGGGCTGGCCTGGGCGCAGCCAAGCCCGAAATTAGGCGGAGTGCCCGAGGGCCGCCTGCCCGCCGTGTGTGCTTTGGGTTCGGCCGTCCCGCCTGCGTCCCCTCCCAAGCGGCGTGTGCACCCCCAGCAGCGTAAGGCGCCTGGGCGCAGCGCAAGCGTTTCAGTCTGGAACAGCCCTCTGTTATCGGCACTTATCGCAAACCCAAAAATTACACCCATAAAAGCTGCTATTGTTATGTGTAGTAAACATAATTCGCGCCATTCCTTGTATGAAATGTGTAATACTGGATACTTGTTATATTATGCTCGTTTGCATGAGAAGTCCCCCCCCCTCCCCCCACCCTCGCAGGAAAACCTGGTTAAGTTGAAACCCGATTTACAAGTGGCTCGGCCAAGAGATGGCCATATCTGGGGATGCCCAGGTGCTGGTCATGGCGTAAGTGACCCGAGATGGATATCAAGGACCCGAGATGGGTATCATGGACCTGAGATGG